CACCGGGCTCACCAAACGCCGGCGGACAGCGCGGCAGCCAGCAGGGAGCCTGCTCGGCTCGTGTGCGGCTGGCTTCCAGCAACTCCTTCCTGCTTCCCAAGGTCCGTTTCACTATATGGTGCTTCTATACAGTGTGCCTGGCGGGCAGCCCGCTCCCCTTCCCAGCCATGGGGTTTTTCCATGCTGGGCTTTACAAACTACCTCTGACTGGGTCCTGGGGATCATGGCCTCTGCAGGAAGGAATTTGCTGGTCAGTGGGTTGAGCTGAGCTGCGCGACCCTGTTCCTGTTAGCTGTGACTTTATCTTGGAGGCAGCATCCAGAAGGATTTGGAAATTCCCTGTCCCTCTCATTGGCTCCCCTTGATGCCTTCGGTCCATGCATGTACCCGATGAGCCTCTGCCTCAATCCCTGAGACACCCAGGGAGCAGACCCTGCTGCCTGGTTAAGCGTGACAGAACTGGGGGCTTTTGCAGGGCTGAGGGAGAGCCTAAGTGTGGGTAAGCAAAGAGCTTGAGGGATCAGGAGAGAGAATCTCCTGGCGTTACATGGTGAGATGACAGGAAACGGTGATGCTGGAAGCCAGGGAAGTAATACGTAGGTGAACTCCAGGCTCTGGTGCTGGGGTGCAGGGTACAAACGTAAGAAGCATTTGGGATGGAGGCTTGAGTACAAGCTGCCATGGTGGTTTCACTGCTTGGGAAAAGCTCAGAAGCAAGGCAGTTTGGTGACCCACTGTTTTTGCACACTGGGTGTGCAGGGACACTGTAGTGTCTGTCAAGGACACCCTCTCCTCTTCCTACGATCCGCATGTCTCTCTATAACATAGGGATGCACAGAAGGCTGGAGCTGGGCTGCCTGAACATGGGCGTAGATGTAAGCACCATTGCATGAAGCAAAAGCTCTGTACGGGCTCTGACACAAACCCTGGGGCTGAAAAGGGATTCCCTGTATCTGAGACACTGCAGAGGAGCACCCTGCCTGGTTATGTTCCCTTCCCTGTGTCTGCCTCCATCCTGCACCTCTGAGCTCTAGGAAAAGGCTGGTGCCTGCAGGAGCCCAAGTGGGTGAGAAGAGGGTTTATGTGGGTACGTGCAAGAAATCGTCCCTGTTCGGAGCAGCTGCTGGAGGCTGCCCTAAAAAGCCTTGCCTCCAATCCCTGGCAGCTCCTCTGTATCCCAGAAGCTGGGTCTGTCCTGCGATCCCCATGCAAACAGTGATGCTCATCCCTCTCTCGTTGCTAGAAGCTCCCTGGTTGCTCCCTGAGCTGGGGAGACAGAGCAAGGAGTGAACTGGGGACTCTGAGGGAAGGGGAGCAGGAGGGGAGATGGGTTACAGACCCCCAGGCTGTTTTCCATGGGTCCCTGTGCTCAGGCATGCAGGTACACCTGCGTTGCTTAGCCAGAGAAATGGCCAAGTGCCCCTGCCATCAGTTCATTCCTTTTTGGGTCCTTTCCAATCCACCTTCCCTGGAAGGAACGGAGTGAGGGTCTGTTCAGCCATCTGCTTTCTTCAGGGTTAGAGATCACAGCAACCGGATAGCTGCCAAAGAGTGATGCCTGTGAAGGGAACGCGTGCCCTGACCCTACTTAGCAGCTCAGACCGTGTTTGGGGTTGGCCCCTGGCCAGAGATGCTGCTGCGGTGTCTTGAAAACACTCAGAGAGCCAGGGACTTTCCAGGGCTGGGAACGGGCAAGGAAGGGGTCTGGGAGATCTCCTGGTCTCCTTTGGGAGCAGAGGGAGCCCTAGGCTGCACTGGTGTGTGCTGGGGACAACCTGTACATGTGTCCCCTTCCTCCACATCACTCATCTTGATATCACATAGGCTCTGGGGAGACCTGACTGGAATCAGTACTCTCCCAGCTTCTCCAGACTATTCTAGCCATGCCAGAAGTGAGGGTTCATCCAGGTACTCAGCACTACTGCCTGGGGAGTTTGCACAGAAAAGGATTGCACAAGAAAGACGTTAAGTGCCAATATGGGTCTTCTTTTCCTGCCCTGTCCTGATGCCATCGGTGCTTCGGGGTTGGAGGGATGCATGACAGCACACAGGCTACTCCAGGACCAGTTCCCCATGCTGCCGGGCACCCTGGGGAGATGCACCCACTGCTGCCCATGGCCAGTGCCTGTCCACATGCCCCAGGGGCTGCTGCCCGAGGCCACGCCATCCTCAGTGCTGCAGCAGTGTGTGGGGAGCTGCCTCCTCCTACATGGGCACAGGGGTACCCCCGGCATGGAGCTCCCTTTCTCTTCTGCACAAGTGATGGAGGAAGCCCCAGGAGTGCAGCCCTGGATTCCCATGCACCCAACTTGTCCCCGAGAAAGGCAGCAATGATTCCAGCTCTTGCCATGATACCATGCTCTTGCCCCCTCCCTGCTAAGGGGGGGGGGCAAGAGCATGAGCATTTTATCACAGCTCTGCTCTCTAATCTCTGGGACTTTGTTCTTCTCCTGGGTTATTCATTGCCCTTGATAACCATTTATGAGGGTCCTTATCAGGAAATGGTGAGAAATTCTGCGGCTGCAACCCCAGTCTTGGGGCCTGGGAAGGGGCTTGGCCCCCATGAACACTGGGTAGACCCTGTTGGGGCTCTGCACCCCACTGGGGTTCCCAGGACACAGCTGGGACAGGCAGCGGGACCGGGGCTGGCCAAGGAGCTGCAGGCTAAGGAGGGTGAAGAGGGGGATGCTAATGGTGGGGTGGTGGGACTGGGGATGGAATGGCAAAGGGGCTCCTCACTAGGGGGCTGGAGAGATGCCAAGATCTGCTTCTTCTCAGAGGGGCCCTAGGGCAGGGTGAGAGACAGCGGCACCGGATGCATCAAAGGAACCTCCCTTTAAATAGTGAAAAAAATGTTTTCAACATGAGAACATTGCAAGCACTGGAACAGGTTGTCCAAAGCAGTTGTGAAACCTCCACCCCTGGTCTCTAGACCATGTCATGAATGTCTCTGGCCACCCCCTCCTCAGAGCAGGACCAGTGTTCCAGGGCTTGGTCCAGCCATGTGCCATCTCTTTCGGCGGCCTTGGCCACCATAGAGGTGCTCTGTTCAGCTCCCCTGGGTCTACTTCTGCATACCCCCTATCTTGCCAGCCATGCCCAACCTGTCCATCAGCACAGGGTCACTCTTCACCATGCCCACAGTGGAAGTTTGCATCTTTATTCCTGCTCAGCATTGCCACTCACCTTCAGCTCCCCAGTACTGGGTATCAGCACCGAAGTATGGTGATCTGTGCTATTTCCCCCAGTTCCACGTGCAGTCTGGCCCTTGCACACCTCAGCCCTACACATGTGTTCAGGTATTTGGGAAGATCCCAGAGAGCCAGACAGGGATGGGGGGCTGCAATATGGGGTCACCCTGAGCCCCTTCTCACCTGTGTGGGACGGCTTGGGAGCAAAGCATGAGGTGGGGGATCAAAACAGATTGACTTCTTGGTATCTCTAACAGCTTGGCTGCCCTCCAAGGTTCCTGTCCTGGGAACAAACAGGTAAGCACCAACACCCAACCCTCCGAGAGCAGGTAGCGGCAGGTTGAGAGACCAGGTAGAAGAAACAGGAGCCTACAAACCCATCTAACCGTGGTGGGGGCCGCGTCTCCGGTGTGCCCCCAACCTGGTACCCCAGGCCCTGATGGGTAGCTGGGAACAAGACAGGACACATCCTAAAAGGGGAGGACTTGTGGCTTACAGGAATCCCCCACCCTCCCTCTTCTCCATCACCCATCCCTCGGCCAGCTGGTGGGCTGACTGCCAGGCTGGCCGAAAATGAAAGCAGAGCGTCCAAGATAAATAGGAGCAGCCCCGGCACTAGGCAGCAGTGCGTGTCCTGCTCTCCTTCCTTGCACTGCTCAGCACTTGACATGGCTCTGCGCCTCCTCCTGCCGCTGCTTCTGCTGACTGTGACCCTCTTCATCACCCAGGCTCAAGGTGAGGGGCACCAAGCCCTGGGGATACGGGTGCTTGCAGGGTGCTGGGAGGTGGTGTTGCAGCACATGGGGTGTGTTTGCCCGCGTTTGTGTGCATGGCTGCGGGTGTGTGGTTTGTGGTGTAAGGTGTGTGTATGTGCAGTGGTGCGTGGAATTGGTTTGGCAGTGTGTGTGTGTGCATGTGGCTGGTGGGGCAACAGCACAGGCAGGAGACTAAGGTTTGGTCCCTCTCCAATGAGGCTCGTCCCTGCCTCGGTTTCCCCTCTGAAATGGGTGTCATGTATTCACAGGGTAGGGTCCAACCTGCATTTGGGCACTGGGATTGAGAGCTCCCACCCTCATGTGCTGCTCCAGCATGTCCCCCATGAATGACACCAAGGAAGTCACCTTGTGCCGTACCTCGGCTGTACTGTGCTCCCTTGGGGGTAGAAAGTTGCCCTGGCTTCATGAGGGTCCAAAATCCCACACTCCCACAGGCATTGGCAACTCGGGCATGGACTGCTGCTTGAAGTACAGCCAGAAATCCATCCCCAGCAACTGGATGACTTCCTACACCCTCCAAGGACCTGAGTCAGGATGTCTGCTGCGTGCTGTTGTGTAAGTACCCTGCTACAGTCGGGACCATTCAAAGCAGTTTGGCTCCAGCCAAACTCTCCCATCCCCTGTTCTCCCCTTGCCCACACCCAGCAAACCTTTCTGCCCCTGCCCTCAGGTTTACCAGCAAGAAGAACAAGAAAATCTGTGCCTCTCCCACTGACCCTGATGTCCAGAAGGTGATGAAGAACCTGGACAAGAGAGTCAGGAAGGACAAGAAGAAGGGACAGCCCCCACGTTACCGGGACAGACTCAAGCGTCAAAAGCAGCAGCAGGTCTAAGTCAGGCCTGAAAAGGTAGGTGAGGGGCAGGGGGAACAGCGGAGTGATGGGATTAGAGTGCTGCTCTCCATCCCAGATCCATCCTGGTGGGAAGGTAGACATTCAGCTCCTGGGGCCAGAGCCTTGCTTGTGCTTGCCTTAGAATCAGGTTTCTTTCTGGAGCTGCTGGGACAAGGGCAATGCTCGGGGACAGGCAAGGCACATCATTCAAGGCAATGGCCCCTGGCTGTGGTGGGTGCTCTCACTGAGACCCTCTCTTTGCCTTCCTTAGGACGAATGCCTACCCCACTGATGACCGACCTGGCAATGGACATCTACGGACCATCCACTCGCCCGCTGGCCCTGGGGCAAGGATGGGGCTGGGCAAGGGGGCTTCTCTCTTCTCTTCTCTGCAGCCCCCTTGGCACTGCCAAGCCTGCCCCAGTGATTGGCAGCAAGGGGCACCCAGGTCCCCACTCGCCCCATGGCCATGCCAGTGGGGACCTGGACCCATGTGGGAGCTGAGCCTCAAGGAGGAATGGGGCAGCCTTCCCACCAGAGGGGATTTCTATAGCCTGACAGGATGGCAGCTTTTCCTATGACCTTTTGGGGGTGGTTTTTATACTTTTCTATTTATAAAGACTGTGCTTTCATCCAGTCTTCCTGGAAATCTCTACTTCTGGCTCTTTGTGCTTCCTGGGGTACCCTTTATGCTGCTAGCTGGCTTTTACTGGAAAATTGCTCTTATTTTTCTACCAAATAAATGATCGATGCTGCTAATTTCCCTCTTACCTGTTTGCTCCTTTTCGGCTTGCGGGGCTGTGGGGTGCCGGCAGGTCCCATGTCCCCATGGTCCTGCTTGGGCAGCTTGCTGGGGTCTTCCTTGCAGGGTAGTTAATAGCAGATGAGATGGAAAAGGTGGGGACAGCGGGGGTGACAGTGTGGCTGTACATCAGGGCTGTTGTAGGCTTTCCCTGCTGGCTTTTATAGTGCACTGTTGAAGCGTAGTTTGGAGCACAATAGGATTTGTCCCTTTGATTTTTATTAAGTCTTTCTAGGTACAAAATTGCAATGAAATCATAACCAATTATTCACTTTAGTGGCATTTTACCCTTTTACCTCCCTTGGTTTTGCTGCTGTCAGATTCAGATGTTATTAAGCCAAATACTTGTTTTTTCTGGTGTGGGGGGAGGAGGGGGAGAGAACCGGAAAAACAACTCTCATATACTTTCTTCCCAACTCTGAAAAGCCCACATGGTGAAAACTGCATGCTGTGCAGATGGAATAGAAGACTTTGCAAAATTCATGGCTGCAGCCATTTGAGAGCAGCTCTATCCCAAAGCTTTAGTGAAATGGGAACTCACTAACCCGAGGACACCATAGGGTGACACTGCAAGTAGAAGGGGGGACAATCACCTGAGGCAGGGCTGGCTGTGAATGGCATCTCCCTGTGCTTGCAACCCCCCTCCAGTGTGCTGAGATAGAGCGAGTGGAGGGTCTGCACAGCAGCTACAGTGCTATCTGCTTGCAGAGACGTGGACTTTGGTCAGTTGAGGTCTATTAAGTCCTAAATTGCAATAATAGGATTTGCAGAGCTTAACAGTATCAGCAAAAGCTGTGTGTTGGCTGGGGTAAAGCTTGTAACCAAGTGTTTCTATCCAGCACATTTATCTGGCTTGATTGCTTTATTAGGCAGGCATTTGCATCTATTATTGTAAGGCTGTGCAAAGAAACTGTGAAGTCCAAGATACCAGCCCTGCGTATGGGATGGGAGCTGAGTTGTCTCTGTGCTGCCTGCTCCTCCATGTGGGAGCAAGTGGCTGAGTGCCAGATGGGATTTTGGACAGGATGTAAGGCAATAAAACATATCATTTACAACCAAACTCACTCGTTCTGTTGTGATGGGTTTTGGCATGCTGGGAAGGGCTGCATGGGGGAGCTGCTTTCCTGCCCCTCACACCATCATCCCCCATGCCCTGGCTTCTGCATCCTCATGGATGCTGTGTCCCTGGGATGCAGTGCTGGCACAGGGATGTGCAAATCCCATCTCATGCAGTTGTGCTGCCCAGCAGTGTGAACCCATCCTGTTTGCTCAGCCACCCTTACTGTGGGGGGCCTGAAAACCCCCCAAACATGATGGGGTGGTGCACAAAATGGTTTTGTACATGGCATCTGCTCACAGTGGAAGCTGTCCTTCCCCAAAGCAGGGACTCTGTGCTCCCAGATGCTTTGGAAAGACAAAATTAAACGAAGTTATTAATGAGGCTGTGCTCTGGCCGGGGCTATGCAGGGAGCCTGGGAACTGACTCCAGCAGGGTGGGAGTCAGATGGGGCTGGATGCAGCCCTGCATTGTCCAGGGATGCACTGCATTCAGCCCTGCAAGGCTGGCCCTGCCTTCTGTAGGATGCCTTGTTGTGCTGGTGCAGGGTGAGGGCATTGGGGAATGATTGCAAAACACCCCTGGATATGAGGCATAGCAGAATACGTCTGCAACCACAAACAGCAAAGCAGGAGCAGATGGCAGGAGTGACCCAGTGTGTGAGATGTATCTCGGTGTTTCTGTGGCTGCAGATGTAAACAACGGTGGTTTTTTTCACCTTCAAATGAGAGGTGGGCATTAGGCTAAAAGAGATTAAGAAGACATGTCCGTGAGGGTGCTCTAATTTACCCTAAACTTTACCCTTAAAGCGGGGTTTGTAGGAGAGCGCTGGGGTTTATGCTGTGCTCAGGAAGGCATGTATGAGCATGGACATGCATGGGCGTTTGCACATCACTTCCAGATTTACTGCAGAATGCTGCTTTTAAGGAAAACAAGGTGTCAGGGTTAGTGGGAGCCTCTTGCTGGTGAAGCAGATGGCTGCAGTGCTGCTGCCATGGTGAGATGGCACCAGGGAAACACCTCTGGGGAGATTTCCTTGTAGAGGCTGAAGGAAGAGGTGATGGGCTGGAATCTGGAGCATGCAGCACAGGCCAAAACCCATCCATTCCCTAAAGAGGAGCTGAATCCACAGATCGCAAGTGAGACGAGCAACGCAAAGAAGGTGCTGTGAGATGATGCCGCAGTGAAGCAGCAGAGGAGGATTCACACTGGAGAGGATTCACAAACCTCCTGCTCCACCCTATGTTCAAAGATAAGGCAGTGTTGATACAGTATGTGCTGGGACAGAGGGTGTACAGCCCCACATAGAGTGTATATAGACTCCCCCATAGACAGGGAAGGCAAGCAGAGCAAAAGGTTAGGAGAGCTCTGCCTCTCTGGAGCAGAAAGGCTTTAGCGACAGCAGAAAGTATCCAGGCAAGAGAGAAACCACTGAGTGCAGCCAAGAAAAGGGAAGTCTATGATTCTAAGTGTTGAACCCAGGCCAAATGATAGCTTAAGCCATTGACTTGTGCCAGCAGCGGAGTGTGCTGGGCTGCAATGCCGGGCTGAGCTCCATCACAGCTCACCTGGAGATGTGGCACTGGCTCTATCCCATTGCCCTGCATCATTCCTGAGAAGCAGGAGCTGGTGATGCTGTAGCAGACCCATGGGTGCCAAGGGACGATTCTGGGGCTCTGTGGTTGATAGAGGGGCTGTAATTTCCATCTGAAGCTTCAAGGCAGTTTTTGGTGCTCTCTCCACCAGCACTGCCCTCCTGGGATCTCTCATGGTCTTGAAAGGAGGTGAAGTGGCTGGTGGGCAATAGGGACTCCCACCCTTCCTGCCCAAGGTATTTCCCAGTCCTGGCTATCGCTGGCATTCATCCTGACCTAGATGTCCCCAGTCCAGAGCATCCTCTCAATCTTTTCTTTTCTCAGTCCACATACAGCTCCCAAGTGCCTCTTTCCCCATCCTCTGTTTTGCTGGCTGGAGACACTTGACTTTGGGGTGTCCTCATGTTGCCAGTTCTCCTTCCACTTCCCCAGAGCACCAGGTCCCTCTGCTTCCCTCCCACCCTGCTGGGGATTGCAGACCTGCTCCTGGGCTGCAGGTCTCCAATGCACAGCAGAAGAGCATCTGCTCTCTCCTGATGATGTCCCATGGCAGGGTCAACGTGAGCTGTGCCCCAGAGCTGCACCAGACCAAAAGCCTCCTCTGCCCACCATCAGGCTAAGGGCCAACAAAGCAGTGAAAAAGAACAGCCCCCAATGGTTTTGGTCTACCCCATCTGCTGCTCTATCTGTCCACAGGTGGGTTTGATGTGCAGCCTAGCCAGGCATCCTTCCTGCCAAGCCACGGGGGAGATGGCAAGGAAATTGCTGATGGGCTGCTTGTTGCACCAGTCTCCAACTGGTTCCCCAGCCATCCCTTCCTGAAACCCATGAGAGGCTGCAGAGAGGAGGACAGGCAGCGTAATGGCAGGGAGCCAAGGCTGGGAGCATCCCACCTGGACACTGCTGTCCTGGTGCCATCACAACACATCCTGTGTGAACATTTGCAGGAAGCACTTGGCAGGGAAATTGTGCAGCCCAAAGATGATGCTGAGACACACGTGCATGGCAGGGAGATGGGTTCTCACCTCAAGGGGTCAAATGGGATCCAGCTGAAGGGTCTTGTCTCTGCTGCCCATCACCGATGGTGACCTCAACATCAGTGACATTGAAGTCAATGAGTGTTAGGGACAGATGGGCTCTAACAGAGCAGGAATTGGCACCTTCTGCATCCCTCTTAGCCAGATACTCAGGACCATCTTTGCTCCCTCTGGGCAAATGCATGACTTGCTCTGTTTTCTTAACCCTTAACTCCATTTAGATCAGATCAACTGATTCCCTGGTTCCCTCAGCTATTGGGGCCCCATGGGCTGGTGGTGGCCCCTGTCCGTGTGCTGCACCAGGACTGGAACTGCAATGGGAGCCATGCAGGAGACTCCCTCATGCTGGGAGCTGCAAGGAAATTGAACAGACACTGCCTTCCCAGTATTTCCCAATGCGGTGAATGCAGCCAGGCCAGATGCTGCCCCAGGGAATGGCTGTGCCTGGAAGTTGCCGAAATTCCCCCTTTGCCCTTTCCAGCTCCATAGCTCAGAGGTGGAAAGCAGAGCACTGCGAGGCACCCCATGGAGCATGCTGGAGCCCACAGGGCAGTGGGGAAGCTGTTGCTCTGGGGGATCCTACTGATGGCAAGTGTCCATGAGGGTGACAGAAAGCTGGTGCTCAATGAGGAGAGCCTAGAGGTGATGCTCACATGGCCCATTTACATTTTGTTGGGTTCAATTTCCCATGGGGACTCCCCCACACACTTCCCCTCATTTTCACTTTAATTAATAACTGCATTATCAAGGCTTCTGCAGGGGTGAGTGCTCAGGAATGCTTTGCGCTGCCTGTGGTATCCTCAGGGCTCTATCTCCAGCCTTTCCAAATTGTTCTGTATGAGGCTTAAATGGGTCAGTGCCTAAAATGCTCTCCCCTCTTCCCAAATTGTACCAGATTCCATGACAATTCCCTGCCTGCGTGTGCCTCTGAAAAGACTGGATCCTGAAACATCCCCTGTTCCCCATCTGCATGGTCTCCTCTGGTCCCCAGGCTCAGCCGTGTGAGGGGGATGGGGCAACCTCCCTGCATGCCACAGGGGTGAACTTCAGAGATGACCACTCTCTTCTTAGAAATCCCACTGACCCCAGCGGAGGGGGGAAACCCATCACATTCCCCTTTCACAATGAGAGTGGAAAGCCCCATTCCTCACGCTCCCGTGCCTCTCCTGGGGAGCAGAGGTGATGGGAGCAGCTGTGCTTTCACCCACTTGGCACCCAGACAGCTGCCAGGAGGAGGCAAACCCTCTTTGCTGCCCATGTGTTGGCAGGGTTTAGCCCCAGAAGGATGTATTCCTTACACTGGACATGCTCCTTTTGGTGTGCAGCCACAAGGAAACCAGCAGCAGGTGGGAGCCCTGTGTGCCAGAAAAGTGGATGGGGACCCCCAGCTTGCTGTGGGGACCAGTAGCCCACAGGACAGACCCTCAGCATCCCTTCCCAGCCCTTGGGCATGCTCTGGTAGCTGCAAAACCCACAGAGCATGTGGGGAGGTGGGGGTTTGCTATTGGACAGCAACCCCAGCACCCATTGCCAGTGAGTCAGGGCTCTGCTTTTGAGACCCCCCCTCTTTTGCTCTTGGGAGGAGCTGGCTCTGAGTTGGGACAAGTTGCTCCTAGAGGTTTGGCCACCAGCAGCGAGGAGCTGTGGTTCTCCCTGCTATGGCATTGTTTCGGCAGCACCATAGGGAGAGCAAATGCAGACCAGTCTCTGAGCTACCCTCCATCCACAAACCTCCAGGAAGACTGGGGCTGATGACTGATGCTAATCCTCCACCACCTAAATTCCCCTTCTGCCAGCCAAGATTTCTCTTTAATAGCTTGTGAGTGCTCTAAGAAGGCAGGTGCTGATTGAAGTTAATCTGGCACATCCTGTTTGTGCTGCTCATTCTGCCTAACCCCTGCAGCACAGCCCTGGCTTGCCAGGGCACAGGAACTGCCGGGGGTGATGCTTTCCCGATGGAGGAGACGATCCTATGCATGAGGCTGGTGCCAGTGCAGGCATGGAGGACTGTGGCCAGTGGTACCAGCCCATGGGTAAGGCCAAAGGGCAAGAGTCTCCTTTTGCTTCTTACTGTGCAGTGGGGAAGGGGCAGAGTTTGCTGTCTTCTGCTGCTGAGAGGTACAGAGGGACCACTGAGGTCCCCAGGTCCCAGCCCTGTGTCTTGTCCCCGGGTAGATATTTGGCCCCATGGAAGACCTGTGCAACGCTTTCCACTGAGATGCCAGGACATGACAAATCTTGAGCAAGGGGAGGGTGGAGGGATGGAGATGCTGCTCTAGGATTTCTTTTCCTTTGTGGGGAAACATTTTTCCTACTATCAGTGGGAATTTCTACGGATGCAACTGGTGCTGTTGCCTCTCATCCTGTTCCTGAGGCCCTCCAAGAAGAGCCTGTGTCCCTCATCTCTCCAAACCCCTTTGAGGCAGCTGCTGGCAGCAGTGAGACCATTCCTTCCCTGGTCTGCACAACGCCACTGCTCTCAGCATCCCACAGTGTTAGGTATCAGGGCTGAAGCAGGCTGTTTAAGGAACATCACTGCAGGTGTCACTGGCAGGTTGTGAGTCACCACGCCCTGGATAAACATCCCCATCCCTGTACTCCTGAGAACGTTTGCAGTGGGAACACTGATGTTCACTCCCTGCAGCGCCCATGTGAGCTGCTGGCTGCCTGCGCCGTGCTCACAGCCTCTGTGAGAGATTTCTGCTCTTGTGCTGTGAAAACCTGTTTCCAGGAAGCTCTGTAGCTCTCTTTCACCCTGAGCCCCATTGCTGCGACAACTGGAAACCAGGTTGTCTTTTGGTGTGTGAGATCGCAGTCCTGGAGCAGAGAATGCTGGCTGGGTTCTCCTCCATCCATCAGCTTTGGATGTGCCCCCCCTACCAGGCACTGGGAAGGGCAGAGGGAGCCAGACAGGCTCCTGCAACCAGATGGAGGAGCTCAGGGGGAGCCAGGTATCACCCCAGTACCAATATATATCCCAAAATTGGGGATGAAGCAAGTTCTACCCCCAGCATCAGTGGGTTGAGCCTGTGCGATATCTAATGGGAATGTCCCAGAGATGTCTAGGACTGGGAATTGTATGAGATGAGGCACCTCATGTGTTGGCCCAGAGCCCTGGGATGCTTTCACAGGGTAAAGGAACCCTGGAGCTGCAGCCCCTGTGGCCAGTGTGCCGGCAGTGAGGGTGTTTGGCTCTGGGACCACAGAGCAGCTGGCTTCAGGGAAAGTAGACGGGATATTTGGGAACTGCTTGAAGATTAAAATCCAGCCTGTGGCAAGACTTGTCACAACTTCCCACCCCTCTTCTCCAAAAGAAAGTGAAAGCCACGGGCTGGAAGGATAAATAGGCAGCAGGGAGAAACCATCAGCAGTGCAGAGCTCACCTCTCCTGCCTGAACCTCACCATTGCCTCCAGCCCATCCACTGCCACACTCAGCAGCAAAATGAAGAAGCTGCAGCTTCTCTGCCTCAGTCTCCTGGTGCTGGGATGTATCCTGGGTGGTAAGAGGGAACCTCTCAGCCTGGCTTTCCTGTGGAAGGGAGAGGATTCGGTTTCTTGCTCTCTTTTGCATTTCCAGCAGAATTCTAGAGGGAGCCATGCCTGGGGGGCTCTGCTGCAGCTCTCTGCATTCTCTGCTTGTAACCTGTCTCAGAGGGACTCTATCCTGCCCAAAGTCCAGGCAGCAGCCTGCAGGGCACTGAGGCTGGAAAGCTGTGCTTGGTAAAGGCTATGGAGCAATCCTGCCTCCCTGTGCCCTAGCCCAGCTTACGCACACTGGGACAGGATCCCCTTCTCCCCAGCACACCAGGGGAGCATCCTCTGGCAGGGGGGAGCCTGGGGGCAAGCAGCAGGTCTTGGGAGCAGAAGGGAAGGTGTGTGTTTGCAAACAACCCGTCTTTGAGGGGCTGCTGGTGTTGGACATGGTGTTTGCACAGGTCACAGATGTCTGGGTGGGTCATACCAGGCCTCTGGTATAGGGAGCTGGGGAGTCTGGATAGCTTGTGCTGTTGCACCACACCTTGCTGCCTGGGGTTACAGGCACCCCTGGGCTCTGTCAGCCTCAGTGGGCATTAACAGTGAATACAGCATTTGCTTGGAGGGTGATGGAGGTCCCCTACCCTGCAGTGAAATGCAGGCAGCTGGGTCCCTCAAGCTGTCACAGGATTTATCCATGTGGGGTGGGCTGGTGATGGGGTTGCTGCTGAAGTCATTTGCAGCCCCTTAGGAATGGGTGTCTGTATTGCAGCATTCTGAAGACAGATAAAGCCCCCTTTCCTGCCCTGCTTGCTGCTAGCACTGGCCTTGTGGGAGGGACCCCCAGGCATACAGAAGCGTTGTCTTCTATGAATCTGCTGTTTCTCATCTCCTTTGCTTTCTGTTTGAAAGAGGTGAAGGGGTGTGGGAGCAATAAAGCTCATGTCTGCATGTGCAGAGGGCACTGTCCTGCCCCTTCACCCTCTGGGATGGCTGGGTGAAGGTGCATCCAAACACCCTGCATAATGTGTTCCTCCTCCAGTGCACGGTGGGAACAATGTCCTCGACTGCTGCCTGCGGACGAGGGAGACTCCCATCCCACGTCGGATAGTGCGGGATTACCGGCTCCAGCTTGTGCAGGACGGCTGCGATATCCCAGCTGCTGTGTAAGAGACAACTGCCCCAGGGTGGTGATGACCAAGGGATGGACCCTGCGGGGAGGCAGGGAGGGAGGCAAAGCAGAGTTGGAGGAGGACACTTGTTGAGCTGGGTTTGGGGTTGAAGGAATAGGGAAGAGACCCTGGAAATCAAAGGCTCAGTCACACCAGGACCTACTGGGAGGGCAAAAACTGGGACAAAAGACAGGGAAGAAAGTCTTTGGGAAGAGATGGAGGAGGGCAGTGGGTGAGAGCTTGAGCTGTGCTTGAGCATCCCTGGGGTGTTCTGCTCATCTCATCTTGGTCTTTTTTCCTATGGACCTGGCAGGTTCATCACCACCAAGGGCAAGCGCCTCTGTGCACCCCCACAAGCCCCATGGGTGCTTCGTCTCCAAGAGAAGCTAGATACCAGCTTTTCCAGGAGGGTAAGAGCCATCCCTATTCTCAGCCGGCAATAGGAGCAACCCAGGGGGTGGGTTTATCCACCACCAGACAGGTTTTTCCCCAGTGTAACTAGGCTGCTGGGAAGAGCTGGGACATGCTCTCCTGAGGCATGGACATTCTGTCTCTGTCTCCATCCCTCCTCCTGGGACCATTTTGGCTTCTCACAGCCCCTCTTCCACCCCAAGTAAATGCAGCCATGGGCTTGCGATGAGTTTGGTGGGTGCTTTGTAAGCCCTGCCAGGTCCTCACTGCCATGGCTTGGCCACAGGAGGTCATCCATCCCTTGGTGACAACCCTATCCACAGGGAAGAGTCTCTGAGGAGGCTCCTGCCCCAAGGATCACACTCATCACAGCTGGGTTTTTCACTTTCCCAGGCCAAACACCATGGCAAGTAGGCTCTGAAGAAGTCCATGGCCAGCCCCATCACCCGGAGTGGGGCCAGTTTCCCACCTGTGAATCTGAAGCTAATAGAGCCAACCTGCTTCCATGTCCAGCCACAAGCTAACCCTCTTCAGGACTTGTGCCAGTGTGTGGGGCTGGGCAGAGCCCTGCCTGCTCTCTCCTTTTCCCTCTTTCTCAGCAACCCAGCAACCTGTCTGAGGCTGAGCCAAGGGCTGCTGGACCAGAGGCTCCATCACCTTCTCAGCCTGGAAGCTGTTTGATGGACTGTTCTGCAAGATGAGTTTGGGGTGTCTCAGCCTTCCCTTCAGCATGGCAGCTGGGACCTCCAGTACTAGTCTAATCCTTTTGGTTTCCATCATCAGCCCCAAGCCTGAGCCCTTCTCCTTCCCTGGGAAGAGCTGCCAGGACAGGACAGTGTGTGGATGGAGGGACGAGATGGGGATGTTCCTCACTGGCCATGCACTGTGGCATGACATAGATGCCCTAGGGGATAGCATGGTCTATGCATTTGCAGTCTCATGCCCTGACTTCCCTGCACTGTTTCCCCTCTTGCCCTCCCTGCATGGGTAATGTGGTGGTGGCAGAGTGGGCAGTGATGTTGCCCTCAGCCCCTGATCTCCTCAGGGACATTGCCCTCCTCCTTGGTCCTCCAGCCTGCCACCACGTTCACACCCTGCCTGGTGTGAGCAAGCAGTGTTTATGCTACAGGTATTTGCTGCTAGATTTCTTCAATGCAACAATTACAGATGTAAGTTGATGCTTCTCCCTCTTTTTTTCACTGTGCTGTGATTTTGTTAAATAAAAAGAAAAGCCAGTGGGTAGTTGACCTGCCTCGTGTTTGAGCCCAAAGGCCAGCGTGGGATATGCAGGCAGCACTGCCTGCGATGCTGCGTGGCAGGAGGCTGTGCTGGGGTGCAAGGAGGGGGAAAGGGGCTTTCATAAGGGTGAAGGACACATCCTACAGCAACTGGGCTGCAAGTCTCTCCTGGGAGTACCTTAGCACCACGCTGTGGCAGGCGCTCTGCTCTGTACTGCTTGTCCAGACTGCTGGAGAAGGTCTTCAGGGCACTGTATTGCAGAGATGGGGTGGGAGAGAGTGTGCCAGTATTGCACCATTGAGCACAAAACACTTCAGTCCTACCAGCACAGCTGCTGGGCTGAGCTCTCAGCTCACACAGAGGCATGGGACATGAAGGAAAAGCTTCAGGAACAGGTCTTTAGTCCTTGTAGTGATGGGAAACTGAGGCACAGTGTGGATTGCCCTGGCAGTTCAGTGCTTGCTAGCATCTGGGGTGCAGGCAAGGAGAAAGAGCTTTTGGAAAATGGAAGCAGGAGAAGACACCTTCTTTTGGGCACATCCATGGATGGAGGGGCTCCTGAGCCCCTTCTTCCTGAGCCTTGAATCTCCTGAACTTTGGTCTTGCTGCCCCAAAGTGGCCTAATGTCCCCTTGGGCACTGCCCTTTTGCATGATCCATGTGGTGTTTGAGTGAAGCTGTTCTATTCAGCTGAATCACGGGCTGAATGTGGATGAGTGGGATCTGCATAGCCAACAGCCATGCACTGTTTTCCTCCCAGAGACCATGGTGTCACACATGATGACCACATCATTAATCATTTTCACTGTCCCTGGCCTGGTTTTGGTGCCAGCCAACAAGCCTGGGCACAGGCTGGCAGTGAGGCAACCTAGAGACTATTCCTGAAGGCCGGGGGGACATTGCCACCACAATGGCATCCACAGTGGTGAAGTGGTTGGGCTGTCCAAGCCGGAGGATGTCCAGGCACCTGATGGCTTTTGTTGACATTTGTCGAATGCAATCTTGACCCGGTCCCTTTTTCTCCCCTGGTCTGCTGGCTCCCTTAGTTGCTAGCTAGGATTTCTTTTTCATGTGTTCCCTGCTCTGGGACCCTGCTCCCTGATACCTGTGCACATGCAATGCCCTGGGCTCGGCTGTCTCTTGGTGTGACTTTCCCAGAGCACCAGCTCTGTCCCAGCTCATTAACTACAGTGACAGCCCCAGCAATACAATCCTTAGTAGGAAGAGGAAGAAGGCTGGTATGAGAAAAGAGGCCAAGATAAACAGCATGAGTGGGAAAGGAGGATAACTGGTGCTTGTTGGGGCAGAAACTTTCCTGCTGCTCGCTCGGTGACCTGTGAGGGGCAATGGCTGGGGAAGGGGAGGATGCTCCATGTGGGTCTGCACTGGGGCTGCTGGTGGTGTGGGTCCGTGTGCATGGCAGGGGCTGCAGGAGGGGCTTAGCCTGGGGCTGATCAGGTTGATCCTTGTCTGTAGGATAATCTGACAAGGAGCGCTGTGTCTTGTTCCTTCGGAAACTGAAGGGGAAGGGGCTTGCACCATCTCTTGGGTGCTGGAAGCAGGTTTATCAATTTCCATCAGAGTTTGTGGGGTCGCTTGGCCAATCTATGTCTAAGAGCATGGCTGTACCCATCTCTTCTGGGATCAGTAAATGTGCCCTCCTCAGAGGAATGCAGCCATTCAGCACAGATCCCTGCCAGGTCCTTGTTTTCTGTGGCTCTTAAGGGGATGGTGATCCAGGTCCCAGCTCTGGCAGCAGGCTGCCCTCACCCCTGATTGGTGTCCTGGGTCAGGTACATGGTCCTAGCTGTCTGTCCCTCCCCCAGCCCGGCAGCAGTTATCCCTGTTTCAGAGCCCCATTCTTGGAAATCTGTCAGAACCAGCAGGGCTCAGTGTTTCCTAAACTACAGACTGAGTTTTTCTAATACAAATGTCAACAATCTCTACAGGGGGAAGCAGCCACTTTCCTTAGAGAAAGCAGCCTGTCACTGCCATGTCAAAAACCTCAAGTCCCAGCCAAGAGCTAGTTTCAGTATAAAGTGTTCCAAGCCCTCCTGTTTTTCTCTCCCCAGCTGTGTTTTTCCTGCTCTTTACCTACCCCCAGTGCATCCTTAGGGAGTGGTGGGGCAGCATCAGGATCTGCTGTGGTATGATCCAGCCATGCCCTCAGTAGGTCTAGGGTGATATGCAGGGATCGCTTTGGTGTAAGGTGTTCTGGAGCAATCACCTGCAGTCTTTCTTCCATGCCTGGGACCTGTATTTCACATGTTGTGCAATTATAAATAATTATAACTGAAAAGCTTTCCCTGAGAGCTGACAAAAGAGCTGCTTTCCTGGTGACTGTGCACAAAGCAGGGCAAGAAAGAAAAGGCTGCATCTGTGCAAGAATATTGAGTACAATTTGGGTTGCTCTCTGGCTGCCAAGATCTTGAAAGCATTCCTCTCTCACCTGCCATAGAGTTCCAGACTGGTTTGGGTTGGAAGGGGCCTTAAAACTCACCCAGTTCCAAGCCCTGCCACGGGCAGGGACACCTTCCACTAGAGCAGGTTGCTCCAAGCCACTGTGTCCAACCTGGCCTTGAACACTGCCAGGGATGCAGCAGCTTCTCCAGGCACCCTGTGCCAGACCCTCAGCATAAAGAACTTCTTCCTAATGTCTCATCTAAATCTTCCTTCTTTCAGTTTAAAGACATTTCCCCCTGTCCTGTCCCTAACTGTCCTTGTCAAAAGCCCCTCTCTAGATTTCTTGTTGGTCCCTGTCTTGGATGATCCCCAGGCTGCATTTAAAGGGCACAAGTCACTGCAGACACAATCTGCTGCAGTCTCAGGGTCTGCATGGGCATTCCCACTCATTCAAGGACCACCACAGCAAAACAGCCACCTGCTTCTCTGCAGCAAGAGAAATATAATACCCCTTCCAGGTGCTTTACTGGGACCAGTTTTGACCCTTGACTCCGAAGAGGTGATGTATGGGGGCTTTTTCTGTCACCAGCATCCCTCATTTGTGCTGTTTGTTGCTCCTGGAGCCTCACATGCAGCCATAGTCAAGGTGAGCAGCACAGCAGGGGCTAAAACTGTTCCCCCTCCTGCAGCCTTTATGGCCTCTTCATATTGCTCCGTGATGCAGAGGAGTCCATGGGAGCTGCGAACATGCATTGGGCATGTTTGCCAGTGCAAGAGCTGGTTGTCCCCTGTGCTGGTGATCTCCTCTATTTAGTGCCAAGGCAAGAGGCTACTTTCCATGGGCACACCTCCCTTAGCATCACTGCTGGACCTAGCTGTCAGGGGCTCAGAGACCTGTCTGGGTTTTGAGAGGAGATGGAACACATGGACAGTCTGGAAGGGTGGGAAGCCAGGTGATGAACAGCCCATTTAGCCTCATGCCATTGCACTGTTTGCTCTTGTCTGAGCAGTAAACGTGTGTGGATAATGGAGAGAATCCAGGTCTGGCATCTCTCCTCCTCTCAGGCCCCTGCTTGCTCCCCTCTCATTGCCAGCATGTCATCACCAGTGCTGCTTGTCCAGACACTTTCTGCTGAGATCTGTCTTGTGGGAAGATGCCAGGACCCTTGGCCAGGCCGTGGGGCTCTGAGAAGGAGCTGGTGCCATCCTGCAGGTGAACTCTTCATCATGGTATCGCCCATCCTGCACCTCCATGGTCTGATCGCCAGGACTGGAGCATGAGACCAGGGTGCTCTTCCTGGCCTGAGTCCCAGGAACCAAACTGAGCCCAGAAGTTGTCTGATATGCGAACCCTTGTG